TACTTACTACTTCTATAAGTACCTACCACACACATACGCGCCACCACCTACACACACTACGTATATATATATATATATATATATATATATATATATATATATTGAGGGGTTGAAATTAAAGGTAGCAAGCTGCAGTTCTGCAGCCTAGCTATAATGGTCAGTTTGCTACCTGACCTCAACGTCGCCGAAAAATTGCGTCTACGCAATGTTAAGAAACGCTTATGTTAACCAGGCTTAATTTTAGAGGTGGAACCGCTGCTTTGAGAAAGATTGATTTTATCGTTTACACAATGACCTCCCATAGATATACACAACACATGTGTTGTGTATATCTATGGACCTCCGTACTACATTGTCCTGTCATTGTCCCGGGAACAAACCAACTCTGTCAGTCACATGTTCGGATTGAACATTTATGCAAATAAATAACCTTAACTCATAAAAGACGGCAGTTAATATCAAACCCTGACGCGCGTTTTACAGCAATATGTTACCATTAAAACGAGTGTAAACTTAAATTATTCCGAGTTGTAATCACAGAGAAATATCCATTTATACATCGGCTACTGTGGCGATTTATCAAGGTTTTTCTACTTATCACAATAATCGACATGTGTGTAAAATGGGTTCACGATGGTATGTGAAACATCTACTGTTAGTACCTACTTACTGCGACATATCTATGACTAACTAAAACCACTAAATTTGTAAAATGTTCAGTGCACCTGGCGAAATTGTGAGAATTTTATTTCTCACAATAAATAATTCTAATATAAATAATAACTAATCAAATGAACGTTTTGATAAAATACCTAAAGGTAAGTAACTATATGGTAAAAAAAATTTGTTTAGTGTTTTTTATTGAAAAAACATTGTTCGGTTCGCATAGGCTTGCTGCTATCATATGGCTATCATATATGTAATATCATTTCCATAACACTTTACATCAAAAGTTATGACATGTTAGACTCATATGCTGTCATTTATGATATAGTTATAACTCCTTTTGATGTTTCAGACTTGTAACGACCCCATGGTTCTAACCTGCTGGGCGTGAAAACCCAGCCTTTTCATCGTGTAGTCGCATAAGTCAAGGTTATATTTTTCACTGTAGATATGCGGCTATAAACAATTCGTTGATGACACCGTATCAGGAGTGTATCAATACACTCCAATATTGATACACTCCTGATCGTATGGCAACGATTGAGAGCTGTAGGTGTTTTAAATAAAAACGTCGAGAAAATGTAAATCTGTCGCGATGTGAAATCATAACATAATCACAATACACAACGCTACACGAATAATATCTCTAGGCAGGTTTTAGCTGTAAAATGTATTTACATTTTATTAATTCCAATACAAAAGTCAGTATTCTGATTTGTCAACACTGAATATTGTCCGTATTGTTAGACATTTACACTCAGTATCGGCATCTGTCAATATGAGTAGTATTACCTACGATTACACTGCTTTGTTTTTACCCCGAACGTCATGTCAATTTACATGTTTACTACAATTTAAACATTACACGTTTTACACGTTTGGACATGCATGCCTATGAATATTTTAAATTCCGTCGCTAACTTTTAACATTTCGATTTCCACCTGATAAAACAAATTTTGACATGTTATTAAAACAGATACCGGATATTTCAACAGGGAGAAAATGATGACACCCCTTTTTACGGCATTGAGATCTGATGACGATTACCTAGTCACGACAACGTCTTTATATCAGGTAGCCTCAAATAGGGGTTCTTTTCCCAATAGGCCCCTATGTTGAAAAAATCCTACCAGGAGTGAATAATAATAGAATTATATTATTATTCACTCATGATCCTACCATATTATCATTTAGCGGGACATGGTAAAGTGTTTCCTGTACTGTAACGCGGATTACTTATAGATTTCAATTTGATGCCGTACAACATCCTAGCAATAAACCTGAACGATTCAGCAGCTGAAACGCACAATAGCAACCAGATAACTGAGACCACAAGCACTGTGTGATGAGTCAGTTAGTCACCTTATTTTTCAACTAACTCCACCGAATCTGGACGCATCAATCAATGTTTATTGAGTTAACCTAAACGACGCAGATATGAAGTAAATTTGCATAGCCACATGCACCATATGCTGAAATGCCCCGTTAAACGTAAGCATAATGTCTATACATGATATTTTTAAACTCATAGCATATTTAAAAGACTGTCGATAATGACGACTAACTAAACGATCGAAAATCTCGAAACATTCACGTCATCGAAACATTCACTTATTAAAATATTACCGCCAGGGTCAATCTCATGTTACTTGACTTCAAACACTTTTTTGCAATATAGACACAGCTAAACACACCAAACATAAAGATGAACAAAGGCAAAACGGTTACAAATAAATCAATAATACATTGCCGGTCTTATAAATACATTTTTATTGCAATGAAGGAAATCATATTCAGAGTATCAAAATGATAAGAAGTCCACCACTAATGCTTTAATAAAATAGAAAATGCGTATATATATATATATATATATATATCAAGAGCGTATAAAGAAGGGTTCTTCTTAAATACGCTCTTGTATATATATATATACGCAATCATTTTACATAGTTGTTTTAAAATCTAAAGATGAAAAGGAATGGAAATAGCATTACGCGGATGTGTAGACCTTTTACGTTGCCGACTTAAATTCAACTCGCTCTCGTTCCCTAGTGGTAGTTTCCTTTTATGATATTCAAATATGATTATTAAAAATCGAGTTTTCTAACATGTTACTATAAAAAATACCTTAACGTTATATCGTAAAGTAAAAAGCGTTGCGATTAAAAAAGTTACGTACACAAAAAAACGCACACAATTTCCAAGTTACCCACGAAAGATGCGAATACACACCCACACGATTTTTTTCCTCTCGCATCATACATCAGGTACCGCCTCTGCGCCTGAACAGATGTAAGCCAACTTCACTGGGGCCCTCACTAGGTGGTAGAGAAATGTGAGACGTTGCGAGGCATCATCAAATGAAGTTTGGTGCGAAACTAGTGTGCGTGTACAACCTGGCTAAACATCGCGCGTGTGTGAGTTTTAAATGAATATCTAAATATGTGCCTTTTGGTTGAATATCGTTAAACGGCTCACACGTCTGTGTCTACGGAGCCGCTGGGCGTGGTCTTATGCGATGGGCCCGTGCTATAGCTCCCTGCTGGCCCGGTGCTGTAGCTTCCCCCCGGTCCCAGGTAGCTACCCGATGTCGTCATCGGATGGTTATACCTTCCCGGTTCGTACGACTCAAATGGCATTGACTTTGGCTCGGTCGACCGGCGCCTTTCCTTCGCCGCCTGCGAGTACATGAAAACTCCGGCCACGAACCCTAGCACGGCTCCGATGACGCAGAATACGTAAGCAAAGCCGAAGTGGTTCCAGTATGAGTTCGGCATCCAGAGTTCATCTAAGGCCTTGGCAGCAAACACGGATATGGCGACCGAGTTGCAGCAAACTGGAAATGCGGTTAAGAATGAATAGACGTGCATACGCGGTTCCAGCAGATGTGCGTATATATAAGAAAAAAACTAATATGGAAACAATAAACGTGGACAGAATTTGATAACTCTCCCCCAAACCCCTTCTGACGCACGCGCGTTCTCTCTCTCTCTCGTCCTCTCTCTCTCACTCTCTATCTATCTCTCACACTCACTCAACACATACACACACACACTCTCTCTCACTAAAACACGCACGCACGCACGCACACACATACACACACACTCATATATATGATATCCCTTATTAGTTTTCTTTTTCTTAAATATTTTTGCCTGTCAGTTACACTTACATGATGCGAAGAGCACTCAAACACGCATGCACGCATGCACGCACGCACGCACGCACGCACGCACACACACGCATGCACGCACACACACTCATATATATATATATATATATATATATATATATATATATATACTTCGTTTAGTTTTACTTTTTACTTTTTAAATAA